AAAAAAAAAAAAAAAAAGATGAACTTAATCAGCATCAGTGAAGGGTACATGTAAAAACTGTTGAATTGGCAATGTTCTGTTATGCATAAATTTATGAGAAAAATAAATAAATAAGAGCATTCTAGAGAAATTCCATCAGAGAATGAGATCAGCTGGAACACACATCACAGATAGCTCTTGATGAGAAACTTTCCAAAAGGAAGGACATATTTAGTTGTCATCAGGATAAAGACAATTGAAAAGGAAATCAATAAACATCTTATCTGTAAACTTGGAATAGAAATACATATGATAATGTGTTGATATGAAGGAAGGCAATGTTGCAATAAGAATGCAATCAGGGGATGGCAGCACTCACAAACTCCAAAAAAGCAAAATAGAATATGATTAAGACAGTGTTAAGGAGCCCTGGTGATACAAGGGTTAAGTGCTTGGCTGCTAACAGAATGGTTGATCCAAATCTACCAGCTGTTCCTCCACAGAAGAAAAGACCTGGCAATCTACTTGCAAAGATTACAGCCTACATGACCATTTACATTAGGCAGATACACTCCTTGGAAAGATCAATCATGGTAGAATAGAAGGGCTGTGTATGCACAGGGAGACAGCTGGGGGGAAGGAGTGCATGGGAGGGAAGGACACAGGGTAGAGGTAACTACGGGAAGGAAGTGGGAGGGGAGTGCTGCATTGTGGGAAGTTGCAGTCAATGTCATGAGACAAAGTATATGTGAGCTGCTGTATGGAAAATGAATTTGCTCTGTAAACTTTCACCCAAATCACAATAAAAATTTTTTAAAAAAAGATTACAGCCTAGACAACTCTATGGGGCAGTTCTAGTCTGTCACATAGGGTCACTATGAATCAGAACTGATTCAATGGCACACAACAACAGAAACAAGGCAGTGTTTGCTGGAGAATAGAGCCAACAGAGGAGAGGGAGGAGGAGCTTGCTGTGAGGGAGAAGGTCCCTGGCCTGAAGGCCCTTCCCTTCAATAATACTCTGTTCTGACTTCATATTCGCATTGATTTAAAGTTCCTTGACAGTAGGGGTAGGATTGCCAGATAAAATACAGGATGCCCAGTTAAATGTGAATTTCAGAAAAACTGAGTATCTTTATAGTATTATTATTTCAGTATTTCTTAGTATCTTATTCTATACTTATGTGTGTGGAGCCCTCAATGAAATGTATTGACACAACAGCTACAATTATGTATTCAAACATACTAACAATCATGATGGTATATAGGAGTGGGCAATGTTTTGCTCTGTTGCTCAGTGGATATTGTTTGATGCTTCAACTTGAATTAAGATGACGACCTATTTCTAGAAAACACTGAGAAACTGGATAGGGAATACTTGGAAAGCAGGAAGTCAAAATTAGCACTGTGTTTATTCATTCTAAAAATATTTATTAACTATTCATCTTATGGGAGCTCTGGTAGCATAGTGCCTAAGGCATTTGACTGCTAACCAGAAGGCTGGCAGTTCAAACCCGCCAGCCACTCCTTGGAAGGAAGGTTGGGCAATCTACTTCTGTAGTGATACTGCCTCGGAAACCCAAGAAGGGGTCACTATGAGTCGGATCTGACTCAACAGCACATAACAACAACTCATCATATAAAAGGAATTCTGCCTTTGAGAGGTCTTGGTTCCTATGGTTGGGGATGTGTGATTTTCTAGCTTGCTTAGATGACATTTTATTATAGAGTTCCCTTTTCATTAAGCACCACATGAGATTCTCAAGCAGAGCAAGTTGTGAGGGTTAAGAGACAGACGTGTGGGATGGCAGGGTGGTAGTGAGACCCTCAGAAGAGGGCACTTCTCTCCAGAGGCTGGCAGGCAGGACGGGATTCCCAGGCCCCAAGAAATACCCACCTTTGACAGCTTGCTGGACATAGGCTGTCGTTCCATCACTGAGGGTCACCGTCTGCAGCCCCAAGCTCTCCATGGCAAACTGCTGCTCGTGCACGCAGACATGAAGTTGGCTTCTGGCCAGCACCGAGAGCCACAGCTGAGGTCCGAGTTTTCCTTCTAGGTCACAAATCTGAGAAAATAGACAGTGTCACATTATGCGTTGACAGATTTCTCCAGCTGTAAGAATACACAGGGAAGGAGTGATGGAGGCCAGCCAAGAAAAAGGGAAGAATTCTTCAAAGCAGAGACTATATTAGTATTTATGAAAAGGATTAAAAAAATACACATTTAAGAATTCTGAAAGTTGAGCATAGAAGAGAGGCATGCCAGCCAAACTGGATGCAGAATAGGAGTTCACTAATCAACACTCACTTTTAAACTTACTCCCCTTAGAAGGGAGGCCCTGTTAAAGGCAGCCAGCCAATCCCATGGCTGCTGGTTCTTCCTGCCCACTGACACCTCTCCTGTACTTAGACTCATCCATTCATTGTGCTGTTGACTAGCCTCATTGAACACCCCACAGTATCACGTGGAAAAAGTCCTCAACAGAACTCACAATGCCTCTCCCAACCTGTTCCACTTCCAGTATCCCCTACATGAGGGATGGAACTTCCATGTACCCAGAAGTGATGGAATCACCCTTGATTCTTTTCTTTCCCTCAAAAGCCCAAGAATCTACTTCAGACTACTATCACCTCTCACCTCTCGACTACTTATCTCAAGAGCCTCCTAACTTAAGTCTCCAGATAAACTCCTGCCTGTTTTCAATCCATTTCCTAACATGCTGTCAGGGTAATCTTTAAAAAAAAAAAAAAAAAGAAAATAAATATACCACTTTATTGATTAAAACCCTTCAGTGGCTTCCTTTTGCACTTAAAATCCACCTTGCAGGCAAGGCTGGTCCTTGCTGTTAAGTTCTCACAGTCCTGGGCACCACCCCTTCATAGTATTCACATCCCCAGAGTCACCTACTTCAGTACTTACTGCTGTTTAACGTTTGTTGCATACGTGAGACTTTGGGTTCCAGTTTGGCTTCTGGCTCTCTGTGGTTTCTCCACAAATCCTTGCTGAATGATTCACCAGGTCATGGTGGGAAGCACTGGAGTTTCCTGCTAGCAGGACTTCCTCCGCCTTGGTCATGGCAAGGAACCTGCCTCTAGCTGTACATCCCCACATTATGAAGCCTGCAGGAGACCCACAGTCTCTGCTCTGTGTTCAGTGGTTAAGATTCTTTTGGCCACTCATCCACAGAATTCTCCTGGATTTGGAATCTGGACTGCCCACTTGCATTCTTACTACCCACCAGCTGATCTCCTCCATCAGTGCTGCCCAAATGGTTTTCATGGCAGGGCACCCAGAGAGAAGATATGTATGTCACATTGCACATGCTGCTGCTTGAAGCCAGAAGCTACTAGCTGTGGCTTTGGTAGTTCTCAGAGCTGAGCAGATTAGTATCTTGACTTAACTACTATAGCCTATTTAAGACATGCTGTTTGGGATGCTCTATCCTGGGCTTGGTATCTGAACCAAAATTATTAATTCATTCTGTCCACAAACATTGTAAGAATGGGCTAAGTTCCAAGGATACTACTACTACTACTACTACTACTACTACTAACAGTGAACACAATGGTAGAGCTAACCATCTACCAGGCATTTTACTTATATTAACTCATTCAACCCTCCCAACAACCCTATAATTAAATACTATTATTTTCTTCATTTTACAATAGAGGCAATTAAGTCCTGGAGAGGCTAAATTTTTTCCTCAAAGTTGCACAGCTCAAAAGTGGGAAAGCAGGATTTGGACCCAGGCTACCTGGCTCTAGAGTCTACACTCTTTTAAGTACTCTATTATGGTCCTGCCTGTGTATTATCTAGTACAGAGGTTTTTGGTGAGGGGTTTATGAACACTGAAGTCACCTGAAAATATTTTTTTGGAATGTAAGCCTGTGCATTTTTCTGAAGAGAGGGGAATCCAAGGTGTCATCAGTCTTAGAGGGCTTTATAATAAAGCCTGGTCTAGTTGGGAATTCTGACATCCAACCAGTTTTCTCTGGCCTATCAGGATCTTGGCAATGACCCCAACCTTGCCCAGAGCCTTGATAATGCCCAGATGGCCTCTATCTCACAAAGGTTCTGGTGTTGGACTCTCTTTGTCTGCCTCATGACCTTCAACTTTCAATCTTTTAATCAGGCAGAGAAATTCTTCTGGTAGCCTGTTTTAGTTGAACATCTACGTCAGAAATGAGGACATTTGTAAGAGACCCAGGTATAAAAGTAGACTATAGGTTGAAAAGGGGTTACAAAATGGTTTCAAATCTTCACATCTGGGGCCCTATGGCTTAAACCAGCAGTAGCTGATTTAATTTAGCACATCTGCACTCTGCTGGGATTTTCCAAGGAAAATCAGTGGCATGATTACCAGCACAGGTTCTGGAGTCAGACAGCCTGGGCTCCAATCTAGACTCTACCTCTTCGAAGCAGTATAGCCTTGAGCAAGTAACTGAACTTCCTGTGTCTCAGATGTCTTTTCTAAAAAATGAGGATTATACTGGCGTCTGCTTCACAGGTGGCTGTAAGGATTAATAAGGTCATATAGGTAAGCATGTAGCACAGTGTTGACACATAGAACCAAAATACCAAACTCACTGCCATTGAGTTGATTCTGATTCATAGTGACTCCTGCTGGGTTTCCAAGGTTGTAAATCTTTATGGAAGCAGACTGCCTCATCTTTCTTCTGTATGGAGTGGCTGGTGGGTTCAAACCACTGACCTTTTGGTTAGCAGCCAAATGGTTTAGCCACTACACCACCAGAGCTTCCTGACACATAGATAGTACTTTGTAAATACTGGATCTGAGGAGAAGGGGAAGGAAGAGGAAGCTAATGGGAAATATTATGAAGCATTGTGTATTTACAAAAAGTTGCCAGTAGTACCAACAGCCCTGGAGTAGAAGGCAGCAGAACTGGCTTCTAATCTTGATTCTATCTCCTATGCCTGCCTCCTCATCTGTAAAATGAAACTTTGGCCTAGAAGACCCTAAGATCCTTTCCAGTGCTCATGCCAATTATATCTATCACATCCATAGCCCTTAATATGTGCCAGACACTATTCAAAGCACTTGACCTATATGAACTCTTTTAATCTTGAAAATAAGCCTATGAGGAGTGAGATGCTATTATTATCCCCATTTTACAGATGAGGTAACTATGGCTTGTTGTTGTTATTTGCGGTGGAGTAATTTGCCTGAGGTCACACCTAGTCAGTGCTGAAGCTAGGATTCTAACCCAGGCAGCCTGGTCCTAGAGCCTGTACCTCTCAATATTTGGTGCATTTCTTCCTTCTGCTAATCCACGGGGACTAATATAGAGTCAGCGCTCACAACACTAGAATGCTGGTTGTTCAACTTGCATCTCACTCACTTAAACTCTGTTCTTGACCTGCCTATGACAGAAAGAGGGAATAGCTAGTGGCCATATTTCCCAAAACAACCCTTCTTGGACACAAGAAAACAAATCTCAACTCTTTTGCATGTTCTTGCCTTCAGGTAAATAACCCCTACTCATTTCATTCTCCTTCCTAAGCCTCATACAACAAACCCTTAAAGGAGTTTGCTGTTGCTTTCCGACCTTTCCCTGTCCAAAGCTTCCCTCCAGCAGAGCCTGACTGCGTGTGGTAAGGAGGATGCTTTGTACATGTACAAGTGTACAGCCTGCTATTTCCCTCTTCTTAAGTGATGCTTTTCTCTGAATCTTCCCGTCCAGCACTAAAGTAACAATAGTGACACTGGCAGAGCCAAACAGAGGCTTGCTACTACTGCCTCAGGATGGCTGGCTGAGCAGTTCCTGCCTGCACCTGACATTTCAGCTTCATAACCCTTGAAGAAAGGGTGAAGGGGGAACAGGGGTGGCTCTCTACATTCTCCTTGGAGAGCAAACGGTTTATCAGTCACCCGACAATCTGGGCTAGGTGTAGGGGACAGACTTTTTTTTTTTGGAGAGGGGGAGGTGGATAAGATTGATGGTGAGGATGGAAAGGAAGCACCACTGACTCTCCCAAAACTATCAGCAGGTCAATTCTATTTGCTGCAGTTTTAAAAGACTTGAATCTATTGTTAAGTCCCTGGCTGATACAAATGGTTTGCTCCCAGCTGCTAATTGAAAAGGTTGGCGGTTCCAACCCATTCAGCAGTGCCATGGAAGGAAAGCCTGGCAATCTTCTTCCATTATGATTACAACCAAGAAAACCCTATGGAGTAGTTCTACTCTGTAACATGGAGTGGCTATGAGTTGGAATTGACTCCATGGCAGTGGAGTTTTTTGCTGTTTGCTTGCTTCTTTGTTTAAATCTATTTTTGGTGCTGATGTGGGAAGTAACTACAGCTTAAGAGTATATCAATGTAATTCACTGCTGTTGAGTTGGATCCGACTCATAGTGAATCCTCCTTGGGTTTCTGAGGCGGTATCACTATGGAAGTAGATTGCCAAACCTTTCTTCTGAGGAGTGGCTAGTGGGTTTGAACCACCAGCCTTCTGGTTAGCAGTCAACTGCCTTAGGCACTATGCCACCAGAGCTCCTAATGCAAAAACATAAGTTATAATTATTGGGGGGAATAACATTCAGAAAAACATTTTAGATATTTTAAATCTTTAGGTCTCTCCATGAAACAAGATGTACTAAAACTGCTTGCTCAAAGCAGAAAAATAAGGGACATGAAAAACAAGAAACTATGGAGTGGATCATAATGTTTGTGTTTCTCCACTTTGTCATGGTTGAGATCTAATCTCAACCACCCCAAAACTGGGCTGTGCCCTGACTACAGGCACCTGCTCACTATTCCAGCATCTTCCACCAACAAAAACTCCCTAGACATTTGGAACAAGGCTTTCTGTACTCTGCCTCCGTTAGCCCAGAGGGCAAATGTATTTAGAAGCCACCCCCCCAAAAAAAAAATTATTCAGAAAGAGAAGAAATCTCAGCTTTGAACAGGAAAAAAAAAGATGACTTCATTTTCACTCAGAAAATTCCTCA